TTCATTATCCTAGTTGTCCAACAACATTGGGCAATGATTATGATTTATTCTAAATGTTTTTTTTTTCTATATTTAAAAACCCTTCACTGATTTATGTTTGACAATTTTCCTGTGATCCCAAGATATCTCAATGAAAGTAAAGCATTTATTTATTTCTACCTTTATTCTTTTTTTTTAATTTTTGTTTTATTGCTTAAAGTATTACAAAGAGCAGTATACGTGTCTCCTTTTGTTCCCCACGGACCTTCCCCCGCTGTAGTTTGACAGTCTGTTTGATGCTGCTCTGCCTCTGTATCTATTTTTGTTCATCAGTTTATAATGGTCTTTATTATCCATAAATGAGTGAGATCATGTGGTATTTTTCTTTCATTGACTGGCTTATTTCACTTAGCATAATGCTCTCCAGTTCTATCCATGCTGTTGCAAATGGTAAGAATTCCTTCTTTTTTACAGCAGCATAGTATTCCATTGTGTAGATGTACCACAGTTTTCTAATCCATTCATCTGCTGATGGGCACTTAGGCTGTTTCCAGATCTTTGCTATGGTAAATTGTGCTGCTATGAACATAGGGATGCATATATCCTTTCTGATTGGTGTTTCTGGTTTCTTGGGATATATTCCTAGAAGTGGGATCACTGGGTCAAATGGGAGTTCCATTTTTAACTTTTTGAGGAAACTCCATACTGTCTTCCATAGTGACTGCACCAGTCTGCATTCCCACCAAGCAGTGCACAGTGTTCCCTTTTCTCCGCATCCTCTCCAGCACTTGTCGTTTGTTGATTTGTTGATGATAGCCATTCTGACAGGTATGAGATGATACCTCATTGTTGTTTTGATTAATTTTAAATTTGGATATGGTTTCAAACATACAGAAAGTTTGCAATTACTGTAGTTGTGAGTACATGAAACAGTGAATAAGGTACAGATATCATGCTTCTTGAGTTGAAGTGCTCTTGTGTGTTTTTTTCTAAGAATAAGGATATTGTCCTGTATAACCAGAGTATAATTATGGAAAATAAGACATTATTAACAAAATATTGTTATGTAACTCAAAGTGCATCTAGGATCACACATGCATTTGTTTGTCCTGTCTTTTAAACTTCCTTTAACCTGGAGCAGTTCCTCAGTTTTTAATGACTTTGAATTTGAAGAGGTCATGCCACATATTTTCAGACTTTCCTCAGTAGGTTCAGGCCAGATAATATTCACATTCCTCAATTTGGGTTTGCTTGCTATTTCCTAATGATTAATTCAGGTTATGCATTTTTTGGCAGATACACCATGGAAGTGATGTTATGTCCTTCTCAGGAGTAGCATACTTGAAGCACATCATGTATATTTGTCCTGTTGTTGATGATGTTGGCTTTGGTCATTTAGTGAGGTGGTCTATGCCAAGTTTCTCCATTGAATGTTTCTACTTTTCTTTTTGTAATTAGTAAGTGATTTGTGGAAAGACACTTTAAGACTATGGAGATATCTTGTTGATCATGCTTTCACCCACAAGTGCTGATTCACAGGTGTTTTCTTGACCGAATCAAGTTAACTATAATGTTTGCCTAATGGTGATGTTCTAACTCTTATCAGCACATCTATATTATAAGTGGCATGCTATGCAAAAGAAGAATTTTCAATTCCTTATACACTTTATTTTTATTTATATTTTATTGCCTGTCATGGATTTTAATTCTTTATGGTTATTAATTATTTTGATTTCCCAATTGTCCAAGATTTCACTGCTGAGAGCTTTTGAACTTACAGCCTTTGTCCTTTGGACATATCCCATCATTTTTAAATGCCAGAGAAAATGTTGCCACCTTGGATTCCATATTTTTATGTCTCCTTCCTATGTCTGTTATGCCAGGATAGTTTTTCAGTATTTCAATAGTATCAGTGGACTTTCTGAGAGTAAGTTTTGTGTTGGTATTAGAACATTTGTTTTCCTCTTTTCTCCTCCTCATAGATTTTTCTGTACCCCTTAGATCTCTGCAATACACAGTGGAGCTGGAAAGATATCTCTGTTAGAAATTGCTGTTTAATTTTCTGTTTACAAGTAATTTAACATTTTTATTATTCTCAAACTTCAAGTTATGCTAAAGATCTAGGATTTGTGTGGGGGTTTTTGTTTGTTTATTTTGATTTGTTGACTGTATATATTTTGCTCAATTTGTGAAATGTTTAATACATTTCTGCTGTTAATACTACCCAGAACTCTAGCTCCATATTTTTAAAGCATTCTACAAAACATTGTTATTTCAAGTTATTTAAAACATGCCATGGTGTAATCAGAAAGTGTGGATTGAATAGCCTTACCTTTTGTGGTCAGTGTTAATCCAGTTTATTTAGTTAAATTGAAGGGTTTTTTTTCTCTATTACTTTTTATCAAATGGCATATTTGTCAATCCAGGAAGTCTCTGAAAGATGTATGCATGGTAAAATCATTACTGGAGATGACTTCTTTGATTTGTACCAATCAATTGTGTTTGTAAATTTCTCCATTAGCTTTAAAAATGACCAAATGTGTATTTAGACAAATGGACATTCAAACTCATGAAATTTAAAAAAATGTAATTAGATTAAAATAAGGTAACTAACTAATCAATAACACTTGAGTATAAAAACCAGTGAAATGTAGTTTTAAGCAGTTGCTTCAACTAATGAAATAAGCATTTTGAGCCTCATTGAGGATAGTCCTTCCTCCAGTTTCATAATAAAGAGGTCCGATTGTATTTGGTATGCAGGGATCAGGAACAAAACACTGATGTTTGAAAATGGAAGAGTAGAAGACAGCTTGCAAAAGTAGGAAATAGCTGAGGGCAGAAAGTATGTCTCATCCAAGAGAGACAACAATTTCTATGTTCTCTGGAGGCTCAGCCTAACAAAATCTTTGCTCTTTCAAAAAGCTAAAAACGAGGATTCTTATGAAAAATATTCCACTTTTGAATATTTAAAAAAATACTTTTGAATCCATGATGTGGAATAAACAAACCATGTCAATAAGCCAGATTTGGTTATTACACTCCACTTTGCAACTTATACTCTGGATGCAATGGAAGGACTAACAGGTGTTGTAGTGAGAAGTAATTGGGTCAGAAAAACTGATTCTGAGCCAGTGATGGTGAACCTTTTGAGCTCGGTGTGTCAGCATTTTTAAAAACCCCAACTTAACTCTGGTGCCGTGTCACATATAGAAATTTTTTGATATTTGCAACCATAGTAAAACAAAGACTTATATTTTTGATATTTATTTTATATAGTTAAATGCCATTTAACAAAGAAAAATCAACCAAAAAAAATGAGTTCGCGTGTCACCTCTGACACGCGTGTCATAGGTTCGCCATCACTGCCCTAGGATCACCTCTTACCAGTTGTGTCAAATTGGGGAAGTCACCTAATTAGTGTTAACTTTAGTTCTCTTGCCCACACGAATGAATATGCCAAAGTGTAAAGAAACATACAGATCTGCTAATAGTTGCTTTATAAGTTTATTGAAATTATATATGAATATGAATTTGCTTTTTTATTAAGCTTTAAGTTTTAAACTTAGAAAAATAAAAATTTAAAAAGACATAGTTTCTTATGAATTTCTTGATTTACTTCTTTTGAAAATATGTTTTTATTGATTTTATAGAGAGGAAGGGAGAGGGAAAGAGAAATAGAAACATCGATGAGAATCATCTATTGGCTGTCTCCTGCATGCCCCCTACTGGGATTGAGCCCACAACCCGGCCATGTGCCCTGACCAGGAATTGAACCAGGGACCTCTTGGTGTATGGACTGATGCTCAACTAACTAAGCCACACTAGCTGGGCTCTTGATTTATCTTTGATATTTAAATATAAATTTGCTAATTACATATATAGTTTTCTCTTGTTTGAGAGGCTCTGCGTGAACCAATAGTAAAATCATTCATTCCTATGCCAGGTAGAGGCCTTTGCCATCCTGTGTTTTTTAATACTCCAGGAAGATAAATTAGACATCCAGCTCATTGTCTATTCTGTTTGGTGAACTGATTACACCTGGTTTTGGTGAACACGAAAGCACACCATCTGTATTCATAAACTGGTGTTTCTACTTAGTACTGTAAAGAACCACATCTCTCTGGGCAGAAATTCTGTTGGTTGCTGAGAACTAATGTTCCTCTAAAGGTGCTTGCTGCTTAGGGGAATTTTATTTGTATTGTCCATCGTGTGTTTGATCTATCCGAAAAAACACATTGTACCTTAAAGGGTTATTTTAAATGTCATTAGGTTGTATATTATTTTGTTTCTTTTGAACAGTTCTTTTATAAAACAGTATACCCCCAAACATAAAATCCTGTTAATGGTGAAATATATTGAGCTTTGAAATTAATGTGCTCATCCCAACATCCCTCCTTTAAAAAACACACAAATTAATTAATAAAATCTTATTAAATAACTTTCTCCTCATAATTACGTTGACTTTCTGAAAAAAAGAAAATGGATGTTTGTGTATTTTTGTGAGGCATGCAAGTGGCATTCCTACTTTTTTCTCAGTGTGTGGTCCTCAATTAAAATTGACATGCAATTACAAAGTGAATTGGTGCAATTCTCTGGGTAAATCAAGCAAACTTCTCCATCCGAGATCTTAATACGTTAGACAAAGGTGCATTTTAAAAACTTGAATTATTTTAATAACCACATCAAATCTCCAATTACATTTAGCTATAGACATCTCATGATTGTGAATTGCTTTAAGTTGTTCTGCCATGTCCTGGGGGCATTGTGCTTCTTCTATATGATTCTGAATCCGTGTGCAGACTCTTGCCTCTTACCCAAGAGTGACCTCCTTGACTGATGTTTAGAACAGTTGGGAATATTTCTGTTCATCAGCCTATTATGTTTTGTAAGATATATAATCTATATTTCACAAAATTTTATTTCAGTATGTTAAGTATGTAGTGTCTCAGTGTGTGTTGGTCTGGATTTGTATTTCTGTGTCCTTGGCAAATTGCTTACTCTTTTTTCTTTTCTTTTCACAGATGCATTTTGTAGGAGTATTTTGAGGATGAATGTTTGCAAATCATTTTGAAATTGCCAAGCGCCACATACAGTAAGTAATATGTATTTCTATTTTTTCACTCAATTGCAGTCATGCTGAATGAATTTGGCAGACTGTCATAAAAGAACACATTTCTATTTACAGTTCTTGATATTTGTGAATATTGAGAAAAACTATATAAAAGATAAAAACTTGAGCTGTTGGCTAGTTGGAATTAAGTTGAATAACTTTAAGATTTCTAATAGCTGAATTTTACTATTGTTTTATGTACATAATGCACACAATAATGTTTTCCACATATTGTTTAAGATTGCTTTCCTCTAAATTGTACATTGAGAAGAGTGAAGAAAAAAATTAGTGTTATTTTAGCCAGCGTTAATAAGGAAGTTTTAAAAGGAGTATTAAGTAGTAAGATTTGCTGAGTATTAGGATTTGCTAGTATTCCAATTTGCTCAATATCAGGCAATTTACACCTTGCACCTTTAATCCTTACCCAAATATTTTAAGTTTATTATTTTTATTTCTATTTTTTAAATAAGAAAACTGATACTCAAGAAGTTTTAATGACTTGCTCAATATCTATTCAAAGTGATGAATCTGGCCATTGGACATAAGACTTTTCAAAAAATATGCCTTTGGTAGCAGAAAAAGTTAAATAACTTTTATTTAAGAGCCTGGATGTTTTTAAGAGTGCAAACATGTCCTGATTAGTTCTTTGGGTTTTTGTATTGCTTAAGCATTATCCTGAAAATGTTGCAGGTTTTTTTGTTTTTTTTTCCTGTTTGTCTATCATGTCATTGCTTTCATTTCAAATTATGCTTTCTAATCCTAACTTGAACCACTTTGAACTAGAAGGAAATAAGTGAAATGCAACTTCCTTAAAGAAAGAGTATATAGATTGCCTAAATTATTCTTTTACTAGAGGCCCAGTGCACGAAATACATGCACTCAGGGTGGGGGGGGGTCCCTCAGCCAGGATTGCGAGGGGGCACAGGCCAGGCTGAGGGACCTCATTGATGCACGATTGGGGCCAGGGAGGGATGCGGGAAGTTGGCCAGCCGGGGAGAGGCCACGGGAGGGCTCCAGGGTGTGTCCGGCTCATCTTGCTCAGTCCCAATCGGCTGGACCCCAGCAGCAAGCCAACCTACCAGTCGGAGCATCTGCCCCCGGTGGTCAGTGCATGTCATAGCGAGTGGTTAAGCGGACTTAGCATATCATTAGCATATTACGCTTTGATTGGTTGAACGGACAATCGGTTGACCGGATACTTAGCATATTTGGCTTTTATTATATAGGATAAAAACTGTTTAGAATTAGAGTTTTGAAGTTCTTCAAGAGTCTTCTTTCATTCAGTAAATACAAGTACACAATTAAATGCTACCATTTTATTATTTTAGAACTGAAAGGGACCATATAATCATAGATTCCTGGCCTCCATTTGCTCAAATTCCTTGTTTGATGAAGTGGGATGATCTGTAGGAGAATTTTAAAATATAATTCTCAATAAAGGTAGAATCAATGATGGCAGCATTGATGCTTAATCATTGTCTCCAAATGCAACTACTTTAAAAAAAGGCAGCATAGTATAGTGCAGTGGTTCTCAACCTTGGCTGCACATTAGAATCACCTGGGAATCTTTTTAAAATCCTGATTTCTGGGCCTCATCCTCCGGAAATTCTGTTTCTTTGTTACTAATGTTGTGGCCCCACCCCATAACAAAGAAACAGAATTTCCGGAGGATGAGGCCCAGAAATCAGGATTTTAAAAAGATTCCCAGGTGATTCTAATGTGCAGCCAAGGTTGAGAACCACTGGTATAGTGGATTAAGATTTCTGGGATCAGACCACCTGGCTTTAAATCCTGAATTTATTACTTACCAGCTGTGTGACTTTGAATACATTACTTAATTTTGTTTTAATGGATATAAGATTGGGAACTACCTCATTTGTGGCAAGTGAGATAATGCATGTAAAATATAGCACAGTTCCAGGTATATAGTTAAATGCTCAATAAATGTTAGTGGCTATTAAGTTGGAATTGATATTTTTAGTTATATTAATTCAAGTATGTTTGTTAATACACATCATAGCCTCAGAATTATGTCATATAAAGTACACAGCAAAGGTATTCAGTGACCACTGCTGATTGACATGCTCAAATAGAAAGTAAACTTCAGTCTTCTTTATAAACAGAGCAAGGTGCTTTTTAGTGGACATCTTTACTTCTTTCAACCATTAGTAATGAAATATACCATTTTGTCAAACATCAGGTATATATAGGGTGGGGCAACAGTAAGTTTACAGATGTTTGTATGGAAAATAATGCAATGATTAATAAATAATAAGACAAGAATAAACTGTGTTTTGAGTACTCACTTTGCCCCACCTTGTAAACAGTGTATAAAATTAGCATACATATTTATCTTATTGAGTGTTGACTATATTTCTAGGTTGAAAGTGTTTATATGCTTTTTGGAAAAAACAGGGACAGTTGTTAAGTGCTTAGGGAATCCAAAATGTTTTTTGTTTTGTGTTTTTAAGAAGAAGAAGACAGGGGAAACATAAATATGAAGTAAAGAAAATAATGAAATGATTGTCAAATAATTTGGGGGAATAATCTCACCCAATGTTTTATGAAACAATTTATGGAAATTGAGGAATGTGGAGAAGAAAATAATTTTATTAAGCATTTTTAAATAATTTTATATTTATTAATCATTTAATTCTGGTGGAAATGTAGCATATACGTTACATTCAAAATCTCATTTCATCTAAGCAATAATACCATGAAGTAGCTATATTATTATCTTCATTTTTCATAGGAGAAAAATGTAAGACAGAAAGTTTAAATCTATCATTCATGGAAATGAAGCTTGAGATCAATCTAATTCTAAAGCTTCTTTTCTTTTTTATTAAATTAAAAAATTTTTTTTATTGACTTTCTAGAAAGAGAGGAAAGGAGAGGGAGAGATAAACATCCATGTGGGAGCGAAACACTGATCGGCCGCCTCCTGCAAGTGCCTCCTGGGATAGAGCCTGTGACATTTTGGTGCATGGGACAATGGTCAACCAACTGAGCCACACCAACCAGGACTAACCCTTCTTTTCTTATCCTCTTAACCTGGCTGTTAAATATTAAAATTTTGTGGCTGATCTGACTTTCTTTTATTTGCATAAAACACTGCTCCTAAACCTCAGGTCAGACATATGAATTATTTAATAAATAAATAGAGTATGATTTGTTTTCAACCGAAACATACGATGATTGCCTTATATTATGTGTTGATAGGACCACCCAGCAATCCTGAACTAATTACCTTAAAAAATGCTGTTTGAGTAAAGAAAATTTAAAAAATAAAAAAGCTCCTTCCCCATGGTTTGGGACCATATCTTATGTTTTTATTACTCTTACTTTTCAGAATTTGAAGTGACTGACCATGCCCTTTTCTTGCAGTCCTTCAGCCACTTCAGGAACACAGAGAAGTTTGAAATGTAGAGTTCACCTTGACGGATTCCTTCTCGTCCCTATTTGCCATCCTCAGGTGTATCAGCTTTCAGGGACATCCTGACAACACTTTGGCCACACTGCTACTTTTCTTTTCAAGTCTTTGGTGATCTTCATTTTCTTCCAGTTCAGTCATCCACTGATCCCAGTCCCTTTACACACCACTGCTTAGAACAAACCATCAGCAACATTTTACTTGAGGGATATTTTCACACTGTAAAATATTATTGCTCTAAAAGTGAAGGGGTCAAGTCTTTTGCATTCTCACACTACTCTTTATTTTAAAAAACTAAAAGACTTACAGAATGCTTTTGCTTTCCATTTCAAGATTTGGTCTCTGAAAGACAAAGCTAGTGGTTACATTTAGTAATTCTATTTCATTTAATTCAATAAATATTTACCGCATGCTCCTATAATAAGAGAGGCACCTTGCTAGTAAGTACTAGAGCAAGTGGAAGGGAAAGAGAAAAATGACTTTCAAGAAAATTCTATCTTCAATTTGAGGAAATAAAATATGCCCAGGCATAAATAAAGTGAATGATTTGTTATTAGATTATGGTATTAGGAGAGTAGTCTAAAGTAGTCAAATTAATAAAGCTGTTACAAATAATTTGAAAAGGTATAATATAGGTGAAAAATAAAGCATTAGAGGAGATTTAAGAAAGGATATGTAATTCTCAACCCCATTGGTTCAAGATTTCATCATGGAGGTTGCATTTGCACTAGATATTGATGCAGGTGGAACAGAGAAGTCAAGGAAATGGCATCCCCAAGTTCAGAGGTAAAGAGCCAGACTTTACGTTAAGGGGTCCCTATCCATGGTTAGAATTATTTAGCTTGGCAACAAAATGAGTTTCTTATGTTGGGCTAAAACCAGGTAAGACTGGAAAATAAGACTGGAGCTAGGTTATATAAAATACTGATAATCAGAATATGAAATTTGAATTTAAATTTAATTGGTAGGCAATTAAAAAAAACACAAAGTATTTTGCAAAGGCCAATTGTGTGAACAAAAAGTTTCTTCTTTGACTACTAGACAGGGGTTGTCTTCACGATGGATTCCAGCTGGAAGACTTGTAGACAAGAAAAACAATTTTAGGAAAAAAGAGTAACATAGGAATGAATGGATGAGGTAAGACATGAGGTCATAGCAGTGGGAATGGAGAGGAAGCAATAGATGCAGGTGAGATTTTGAAAAAAATAGGGTCTAGGAATAATAATAATAACACTTGAGTGGCATTTACTATGTACTAGGTTCTACTTTAAATTATTTATATTTATTATTTAATGTAACTTCCAAACAATTCTGAGAGGTAGATGCTAACATTATCTACATTTGCACAAGAGGAAACTGAGGCAGCCATTCACTTCACAGTCAATATGATAGGTCTAAAACACAAATCTAATTCTATCACAGCATTATATTTCCCCCCACTAAATAAGAAATGGTAGGGCTGATACTTAAGTCCAGTCAGCCAAGCTCCATATTGCTGCAGTTAACCACTATATACCATTTTTCTAAAAAAAAACCACAACGAATTTCCAGC